AGTTGATCTCACTTCTCAATGGTTAAAACCGCTGCCAGTTCTCAGAAATGGCCAGTTATTTGTCAGGAGAAAAAACTCCCATCAGCCTCCAGCAGCTTCAACTTCTCCAGCTCTCAGTTATCTTAAAGATAAAGTCACTCCAGGACACATGGATAAGGTACACCTGATATCCAAGAATTCCTAATTTAATAATGGTATAAATGAAATTAGAATTTTGACAACTAGGTCCCTTGAGTTAATAACAGCTAAATTAAAAATGAATACAATTTAGTGAATTGAGTAGGAAATTTGGATAAAAGAATACAGTTTAGTAAAAGAATACAATTTAACAAAAAAATACAATTTCTATATATAATTTGGCAGTAATTAAGTATGATTAAAGCATAAGCAAAACCAAGTGGGGTACAGAGAGGGTTTCTCACTCCACCTCACATACAAAACTGACCAGGGTACGGAGGGGGTTCCCCACCCTTCCTCATGTACCAAACAAAGCACTTCAAGCTGAATTTATATACTCTATGCCTATACATATTCATTAATGTTTCCCATAAGTTTCCTCCTATTTCCATTTTTCTGACTTTAGGTCACTCTCCTTCACGGCGCATGCCTCACTTGTTGTTAGGAGGTCTCCAGTCTCCTTTTGGTGGTCTTTGGACGAAGGCTTACGCTCATCCTCACTGTCCTCTCAATGGCCTCACAGGTTTGCACGTGTGTACCACGCATTGTGCTATGTAAGTCTACTAATTAGTCGCACATTTAATGAACTTTGGGCCCTATGCCTAAAGTCGTTCTAATTTTGTCCATCTCAAGGCCGTTTTTGTCTTGGGATATCACTTACCTTCCAAACTACATCCTGTACATCAATTTGACACCTGGTACAAGGGGTACATTTGCCTTGTAACACTGATTCTTTTGATTGCTTTTATTAATAACTTTCCAAATAGTTACCATTTAGTTAGCACAAATCCATTCCATTTATTAAAAGAAGAACTCCTAAACAAGTCAAGGAGATGATTTCCTCAAGGCTGTGCTGAAAAGTAATTACCAAATGATTTTTTTCATGAGGTCAGATTCCTTCAGCTCAGATGCTCTTCCTACCTGCCAGCTCTACAGTATTCTTTTGTGTTTTATCGTCACACTGCAAATCTGCAAAAGAAACTTTTCTAGAAGAGAGATGAGGGAATCGCCTATCAAATTTCTCTTTAGGAGGGCTTCCGACCACAGCAGGAACAGCAGCATTTGCTGCCAGCCCCGGTCAGAGACATGATACCTATTGCCCAGCCTCTTTCCTACCTATCCTACTTTCCCAGTCTGAACTTCTACTGTCACTGGAAATAAAAGCAGAGTTTTAACTTCACTTGGCACATTTTCAGTTTCATTCTCAAATGTCCTACTTCATCCTCTTCATATGTACACTTTTGTTTCAAAGGACATAAGCTCCCATGTCTCATTTTCCCAAGCTTAATGCTGAGGTTCCAGGGAGAATGAAGGCATATTTCCTCCTGGCCTTGCAGTACTTAGATAAATCGTCTCCTTGGTGTGCACAGGAGACTTCTGGCTGTTCCAATTTTTGTGGGCAGATGAGTGTCCTGAGGAGCTCTGGCCACTTGGCTCTTGTGAGGAGGCATCCTTGGCTCACCGTGCAGCTGTGAGAAATTGCTGCTGATGCCTTGCTCCTGCTTCTTGCCCTCATCATATCCTTCCCAATGGGTAATTTCCCTGAGACTCTCTCTTGGCACCATGGTCTTTTCTCTGGCTGGCTTTCAACAGGGTTCAAATATGCCCAGGAAGAGGCTGGAGGAGCACAGGGGTCAGGCAGGCAGCCCAGGAGCTGCTGGTGCCACGCAGGGTGAGGGAATTGTGTGTGGCCAAAAGGGAAAGCTGCCAGCGGCGCCTGGACCTGGGCCAGGCCTGTGGTCACCATGGAGCCAGGGGGGCTGCCAGGAAAGGGTCCAGGACCAGGTGCCTTGGGCCTGGATCCCTTCCTTCCAGCCTGGGGCTGAGGGCACCTGGGTGGCACCAAATCCCACCTGGCACACGCCGTGTCCCTGCAGCCCCGTGTGCCTTGGCAGCCATCGGGAAGTGTATGGAACATGGAACAGGCCCATTGTCTGCCTTTCCCTTAAAACCAGTGCATTTCCCAGTCTACTTGGGATGTTCTCTATGGCACCGTGCTGTGAGCTTACAGGGCTTTGGGCAGAGAAGAAAGCTGAAAGTCTTCCTAGGAGAAATCTCCTGATATTTCCAGCACAACCTGAGACTATTTCCTATTCTCCTGTCCCTTTAACCTGGGAGTGAAGACACAGAAAATGTGGCTAAATTCACCTTTCCGCAATTTGTTGGTTGGAAGTACTTGAGCATACGAATTCAGTGTTTTATGAATGCTGTCTTTGACCGCAATATAGGATTGAAAATCCTCAGGAAATTCTAGATGAAATATGGAAGAAAGATGATTACATAATAAATTAAAATCAGCTATGCCAGAAAGAACCCATGATATTTCTGAAGGAGATTCTTTGTCTGTATCCAAGTGGTTAGATATGGACAACATGAAACCAAATATGAATTTGAAAAGCAATATTCATTTAATTGCATATTCTTTTCTATGTTTGATGTAATTCTTAGAAAATGGCAAGTAATGGTTTGTGAAAACCAGATTTTAAAATGATTTTCTGGAAGTTAGATGGAGTCTTGGGGTGAGATGCTCATCACTGCACTCTAAATGCATTTCTCAACCCCCCAAAAAGGAAGACCTTGTAGAGTGGAATTCAAACAACACACACGGGAGAGCAGCGTTGGCTGCCAGAACCACTGTCAGTGCTTGTTAACCCCGAGGGTTTCTGCAGCCTGGCCTTTGGAAAGCCTGGGGGTGACAGGTATAGGCAGATGCCCCACATGCTCAGACATCAGTGATCAGAATCCTTGTTCTTCCCCTCCAGGAGGAACTCCCCTGTGAGTCTTGTCTTTGTTCACGGCAGCATTCAAAAGACTGTTGGGAAACGTGGCTGTGTGAGTCGCCACAGGCAGGCAACTGGAGCAAGCACAAAAGCATGGCAAAGAATTACTTCATTTCAGTATCTCTCTAGATGTTCCCACTTCATGAAACAATGTAGAAAAGGGAGGTAGTTCTTTCTTGGGATGACTGGTGTTTTGGGATATCATCCTTCTCACCACAGTTTCATTTTCACGGCACATACCACCCCTAATCTCTTCTTTTGCAAGGCAAAAACGCATTCCCCTCAGCAACCACAAAGCTTTCCAAAGGTAACCAAAAGAACTTACAACTGTATTTGAAACAAAAATATGATGCAGCTTCTTTGCATTGAACTATAAAGTAAAACAAAAACAACAAAATTGTTCCTAGGGCTTCAAAGGAGCAGAGAACTTGGAACTATTTACATCCTGGAGAACCACGTATGGCCCTTGGGTTCCAGTCTGGGTCACTGCAAACTCTGCCTCATTCAGTGTATGAGGGCAGGCCGGCTCTTGGTCATCTTGCTTTGTTCAGCTTTGTTCAGCAGAAAAGGCTGGAACAAAAGGAGGGAGAGAGAAAAGATTTGGTTGGATTCATCCAACAGGCATATCGAGATGGCAGAGGACAATGACTGCAGTCACTTTACTCCAAGAGGACCTGCAAAGCCTTTTGACTCTCAGCAGCTGTCTCTTTATGGAGAGCATTCTTACAGCTTTTCTGCCCTTCTACCAGACACATCCTGCTCATTTTCTTTTGCAAGTTTGCCAGCAGATCATGGCAATGCATCCCTTTGCCCAGAGGGGCCCACACAACTTGGTGTTCTATGGAAAATGACACTGCAAAGGCCCCGTGGGATGACAGGTTACAGCTCTTGAGTCTTCCCCACTGCTTGCACCACAGGAAAACACAATATTTGTAATGGCTAAATTGTACAATCAAAAACATAGCAGCAGCTCTAGGAATTCCTTTTGGCCAATAGTGGTCACAAGCCTAGGAGTGTGAACTCTGGCAGCAACAAGCAGCACCTGATAGCTCTCCACCTTGTTTCACCACTGCTCATTGACATCACTTTTAGTGAGCTTCTCAAAGTTTCCAAGAACACACCAAGCAGTGAGTCCCAGCTCACAGGTTGCAGCATCAGGAATGAAATTCAACCCAGGGAGAAGGCTCAGGTGTGAGGCTGCACTTCTTGCCTGACTCTGCTGTGCATGGCACAGTCCTCTCCCCTCTTTCAGCACCCACTCTTCCCATGCTTTGGTCCCTACTCACTGCACACGTGCTCTCCAGCTGCTCTGCCTTGGCACAGCTGATGCTGCACAGAGGACAATTTGACACAGAGCACAGCACCATCCCCAAGCTGACCCAGAGCCCTCTCTCTGCCCAAAAGCACCTCCTACCCTTCCCACTCCAAAAGCCAGCGCATGACTAAGAGGGCTGCTCATTTTCCCTCAGGAAAAGGGAGGCAGGAATTAAAGCTTTTCCATTCCTACCTCAATTGCAACCTCCCTTCCTGCAGCCAAACATCAGCCCCAACGCCTCTGTGCTTTCACAGGATGTCAGAAGGGAAAGACTCCTTGCCCTTACCCACCTACACCTACAGAGCTGCTTTCTGCACTGCTTGCTTCCAGCTTGTAAAGGCCAATCTGCAGCATTTCAAGTGGCAGGAGGGACACGATGGTAGAAGCAAACTCCCGAGTATCAGGACAGGAGATACAGTTCTTTGTCTTACCCCTCTGAACAGGGACTTAGATTTACACATCTTTCTGGCATCCCAGCACTGCATACTCACTTCAGTTTGTTGGTGCCTTTGCTTGCTGGAAGCTGACATCTGTTGGGATTCTTTTCATTTCTTTTTCTTTTTGGGAAAATCCCCGTTGTCTTCTCTCTAACAGGAAGAAAGAAAATAGGAAAAATTCACTCAGGTCCTTGAAGTTCAAATAAAGTAGAGACCAGTTTGAAAGATTCTGGTTGAAAAGAGAAAAAATAACACACTGGAACTCATAAAGTGGAAACCCAAGCACATCAGGCAGGGATTTCACGTCCACTGGCAAGTAACCGAAAATGACATTTCACCTTCTTTTGCTTGGATAGGTGATATGTTTTCTAATGGCAAGGACAGATCTCCTGAGCACCTCCTTGATAATTGTAATAAAATGTAAGGCCCTTCCATTGCTGAAAATAAACATGTCATCTGTTCTGGGTGGGCCTTTTTTTCCCACTCCATCATGATTGTAGAGAAATGTTTTCAGACTCCTGGTGGCAAAGTCAGGACCTGTAAGCATATCTGTTTTGGGATACCCCCCGTCAATGGGAAGGAAAAGCTACGGTCACAGGCGAGTGAGATCCCTCAGATAGCCCAGATGTGCAGGGGCTTCTGATGTTATTACCAAAAATCTGAGAGGGGTGAAATTGTAAAAATGCAGTGAAAATTGCTGCCTTTGTCTTCCAGAAGAACAGGAAGCATTAAGGAAGAGAGTCAGTCAATGAAAACTTTTTATAGGTTTTAGAGCATTGGTTCTAAAGCATCAAGTGTGCAAATCATCAGCTCACCTGAATGAGAAACTTCCGAATCCTTTGCTACCAGTCAAGAAAATGTAAAAGAAAGTGCCCTTATCACTTAGCATTACCCACAGCGTGACTGCTGATAGCCAGAAGCATCCCAGGACTTTCGTGTGTCCCTCCCGGAGTGCAGACACACAAGGAACCATTCAGCAGCTTCTCCACAAGGCTGCTGTCAAGGAGTTCTCCTTCCAGACTGCACTCACGTCTGGGATACAGGCTCTGAGTTGGGATTTCCTGCAGTCAGACACTAGATTGCAAGGGATGACATGCCAGACACCAAATAGTTCCTCTCCTGGCTCTTGGAGACAGCAGCAGAAGTGGCAGATTGACTGCCTGCTTCCCTTTCTGCCCCTGCTCTGCAAGAGGGGGAACTTCTGGGCTCACTCCAGTTTCCTCACCATTTCCCTACTCTTCTTTATTCTTAACTCAGGAAGCTCAGAAAATGACAAAGTTAAAAAACCCACACAGGAAGCAAAGTTATTCCCCCGGCCCTCCTGAGCCACCTGTTCTGGGAGGAGGAACAGAAAGGGAGACAGGCCCTGCAATGTCCACAGGGAGTGCCCATCACTGCAAGGCCTGCAGCCAACTCCTTGTGCACCTGACCTCCCAGTGCTGTCTGGGAGTCAGCACTGACTCTGGGAGTCAGCTTCCCAAAAAACACTTGAGAGCAACGACCACCTCCGAGTTTGAAATGAAGGCCTGTCTTGGAATTCCAGGGAAAGCCACTGCAATGGCCGAGGGACTCTGCAAAGGGGTCTCTGCAAAGCCCCTGACTACACACAGCTGTAAAAGTCTCCGGGGCACCAAATGTCAAAGGCTTCAGCTCTTTTCCCCAGGATGAGGATTGATGAGCAGAGAGACGGTTTTTGTCTTCAGACTTAGGTTGTTTTACCTTATCTACTTTACATTTTTACAGATAGTAAGTTGTTGGGAAGGTAGAATTAGAAAGAAAATATAAATATGACTTTGTAGCCAGAAAGGCTAAGGAAGAAATACAAATGATAGCACGGTTTGAATAATTCAAAGAAACCGGGCTGGTATGCCAGAACACATTCTTTCCTGCAATAAAACCAAGCTGAGACCCCTCATCCCAGCCTTATAAGAAAAGGTCTGAAGGACCCTGAGATAACTAAAAATATGCAAAAATAGCGATTTCTATAGGTTGTACACAAATGTTACTATATTAGTATACTTAAAAAGATTGGTTAGTAAAGGAATAGAATATTCAAAGGTATAGGTTATATAAGTAGTGGTATAGAAGAGCTCGGTCTCTCTTTTTCCGGCTCTCTCACTTCTGTTATGTTCTGTAACTCTCTTTTGTAGAAATCTTAAGTCTTAAACTCATGTATTCGTATCTTACCCTCTTTTGTATTGCTCTCCCTGAGCCCGCCTTGAGCTCTATCTGTTGGCTCATAGCAGGCTCTCTCTCTCTCTCTACCCCACGCCCTGAAATAAACTTCTAACACTTAACTCGATTATAGAGGTCTTTGGCCGTGTCTCTGACCGTCCCCAGAAAGCGTCTCCTACAGTAAGTACTTCCACACACTAACCTAACAAGCTACAAACGGAGAATGTGGGCTCTGTCCACAAGGCCTTTTAAGCATAAACCATCCAGTTATCAAATGCCAACTCATTTACTTATACTTTTAACCCAATAACCAAACACCCATGTTCTGCACTGCATACCTTTCCATCCAATCACCCCATACCAGCCAAAACCATGGAGAAGAAAGAAGAAAGGCAAAGTCAATCCAACACCCAAGAACCTATACCTTGTCTCTTATTCACTACTACATCTCAAACTCTAAACTCTTTCTTTTTCACCCAGTGAATTATCATAATGCTATCTAATTCACACATCGACATTCCCAGCTCCTCCACTCAATTTTACAAGCCTTCTCCATGGTCTTAACTCCAACCCTGTGTTCTCTCAAGTGCCGGAGCCAGTCAGCACAGATCAAAGGGACATTTTCTGTGCCTGGGACTCCAACACACAGCCGCTTCTTAGGCATCACTGCTGGCATCACAGCAGCTCCAGGGAAATCCAAACAAGTGCTTTGCCTATTTATACATCTGCCAAGTGCTTCAGATACCTACTGCTTTTGATGCAGGAGCACAAGAAGGGGCCACCACCAAGCTACAAAGCTCAGCTTGGGCTGAAACTCAGAGAAACCCAGCAGTGCTGGCAGGGGCTGGGCAGCCACAAGCTGCCAAAACCTCCTCTGGCAGAGGACAGCTGAATTTTTGTTTTCTCAGGAAACCAGGATCCCAAGAAAACACTAAAAAGCACCAAAACACACAAAACAACAGCTTACAAGGCTTTCCGTTTTCTCAGAAGGGCATTGGTGACCAATGGGAATCAGCTGTGGGAACATTCCCCTTACAGGTTTGATAACACCCTTACAGGAGATCAATCATGGCTTTAGTGCCAACGTATGAAGTGGAAACTCCACTTGGGTTTTTCAAACACCACCTTGGTCATTGTCCAAACCCACCTCCCCCTACCCCTCTCACCTTCTTCTCTCCTGGGGACTCCTCTGAACTCCTCATGGCTCTCCTCTTCAAGTCTGGCTTCCTTGGAGATGAGAGCAACTTCTCTCCAGGAGACAAGGGCACCTTCTCCTTGTGCAAATCCCAAGGCCTGTGGCCACTGGGGATGAGGGTGTCACGTTCCGGAGCATCCCTCAGGAGCTTGGGGTCCAAAAGTCTTTTTGGCTCCACAAGGTGGGAGCCCTTGTCCTTTCTGTTCTCAGAGGGCTCCTTAATTGCTGGCTTCAGGTCTTACTTGTCTGTGGTTTTTGGCTTCACTGTTTCCTTGACTTTGGACTGGTCCTTGCAAGACTGTTTTGTGATCTGCAAAGGACTAGGCTCACTCTCCACCTTCCGCACTCTCTTGGATTTCTTGTGCACCAGGGACATGCTGGGCCTTTTGACACTCAGAGTCTTCCTGAGCATGGCCTCCTTGGTGTGCACAGGAGGCTTCAGGCAGCTGTGTTTGGATGTAACATGAGCTTCCTGAGGAGCCTCAACCACTTGGCCACACTTCTGAGAGTGCTTGGCCACTAGGCCAGTGCTCTTTTGAAACTGCTTGGTCACCTGTCCAGAGCTCTTCTCACGGTCCTTAGCTACTTGTCCACAGCTCTTCTGAGAATCCTTCATTACTTCACCAAGGTTCTTATGAGGATCCTTGGCCACTTGTCAAGAGCTCTTCTGAGGAACTTTGGCCACTTGGCCACAGCTTTTTTGAGATGTCTGGGCCACTTGGATGCAGCTCTTTGTGAGAAGGCTCCCTTGCCTTGGAGTGCTGCTGGCAGGAATTGATGCTGATGGCCTGTTCCTGCTTCTCACTGCCCTCACATCCATTCCCACAGGAAATTTCCCTGGAACCCTTTCTTGGCAGTGCCCCTCGCTTTCTGTGGGTCACCTGGTTGTCAAGGTGGCACTTTTTCAAAGTTGATGGCTCAGGCTGCCAACAAAAAGAGAAAAGAAGGATTTAGGACTTCTGTCCTAGCACAGGTCACCAGAGCCCAGAGACTCTTGCCCAGAAGTCCTAAAGTCTGGGCTTTGGCCTGTGAAGAACTGACTCTAACAGGCCACATGAACAAACTTGCTTCTTGAGCAAGGTGCATTCCACTTTGGCTAAGTGGTCCACCAATAACGATCCTTAGTGAAACCAAACTGTGGTTCCACTTCAAACAGCTCACTGTGTCAGGACAGAAAAGCTCTTGCTGACCTGCCCCCTTGCCTTTTCCTTGCAGCCTTTCATTTTTAGAGCACGCATTGAAGCTTTGCTCTTTGCTTCTCAGTTGAGCATAGTGTCCTATTGCCAGAGTCCCACATGTCCATCTCCTTCTCGCACAGAGAAATTGCTTCTGTCAAAACATGCTGATGCTACATGCTTTCCTGATCAGCTATTCACACCATCACGTTCTGTGTCCTGCTTGCAGTCTGAATCTAAACTGAGAAGTTTTTGGCTACATCTCGCACACACATATGTGCCAGGACATAAAAGTTGCTTGGACCCTGCCGCTTACATTCAAAAACATACCTTTGCTCTGCAATCAAGTGACAGCTTTCTTTGCTTTACATCTTGCAAACTACACACCCTGGAGTTATGCATTTTCTTTCTTTCTTAGCTACACTCACCTATCCCCCACAATGGCTTCTCTACTGCTTTTTTCTTGGCCCCGCCGTGCCTGGACTTTTCCTCTTCAGACACCCATTGTGTTGCCTACCCCTCCTCTACACTGCCTTGCTGTCACCCTGAAAACTAAATCCTTCGGATAATGTTTTCATAGTTTTAGTTACTTTCCTATGAAAGTTCTATAAACATAAGTTTTTTATCACATTCCTTCTAAGAAACGTTTTTTGATGGACGTTTCACATGACCAGTGTGCTTGGGAAGGTGGTAAATAAGTTATCCAATCCCTGGTCATTGTCGAGAATCTGTAAATACTGGAATCAGAGAATAAAGTTGTTTCTTTCCTGTTCTAACATGGAGAAGCATTCATGTGAATCATTTTGTGTCCTTTAGCAACACCTTGCTTTTCCCACCCAACCTTGCATTTCCTTGTCATTCCTGACCATTCCTTTCCTTTGCCTTCCTGACCTGTCCATGCCCTTCCCTTGCCCTTCCTACCAATCCTGTGCCTTGCATTGATTTGCTCACCCATTCCCCTTTCCAGTTTGTCCAGTTTCCCTTCCTGTTGTCCAGCTCCAGTCTTTCATTTCCTTCTTCTTCTGGGACTCTCATTGCCTTGCCTGCTTTTCCTTTGTTTTGCCTGGCAAAACCACCACTTTCCTTCCCTTGCCCTTGAACCTCTCCCTTGCCTTGCATTACCTTGCTCACCCATCCCCCACCTGGAATTCAATGCCCCTCTTTTTGTGGAATTTCTTCAACTTCCCTTACCTTGCCTACTCCTTCTAGGACTCTAAAGACTTTCACATACCTCCAGTGTTTCAGAAGCATGTGAGAGGAAGCCCAGAGGAGGTCACGTGCAAGCACACCCATCTGTCCTGGCAGCTTTGTTCTGGCACCTATCCTTACATGTCTTGAATTTTGGACATGAAATTCATATTTCACCCTTGGGCTTCAGGACCAGTTCTTTTGCATACCAAGGAAAGCAGGTAACCCAAGTGTTTTAGGTGCAGATTAGAGATAGCCCATGCAAGATCAAGGCCACACAGAGCAGTCTGTCCTGGCTGCTTTTGTGTACCAGCAATCCTTGAACGTACCTGTCACTTGCCTTGCCTTGGCAACCCAACAGTTTCCTTGCCTTGCCCTGTTAAACCTCCATCGCTTTGCATTCTCTTGCATGCCCATGCCCCACCCTTACTTACCTACTTCTTTTCTCTAGAGCTTTGTCTTGCCAGGCCTACACCTCCTTTGCATTTCCTTGCCATTCCTGTCCCTTCCTTTACTCTGCTGTGCTTCCCCACACCTTGCATTGCCTTGCTGTCCAGTCTGGAGGCTTCCCTCGGCCTTCCTTCCCTCCACTGCCTTGTACTGACGTGCACACCCATCCCTCACCCGACTTCCCATTTGTCCAGGTCACCCTTTTGTTTCCTTCTCCTTATAGGACTCTCATTGCCTACCTCTTGTTGCAGTCATTCCACTGTGATTTGGGGTCCGGTTCGGCTGGGTAGGCATGGCAAAATAGAGGGACAGGAATGATGGAGTTGCCTGAAATATTTTAATGATGGTGAAATAACCAGCTGCAGAAACCACATGTTCTGGGGGCAAGCTCCAAAGACCAAGACTCATGGTGAACTTAACAATATATAGGGGTACCTGAGGGCAGGGGTCCAATCGCAAATGCGAACCAGGGACATGACCTTGTAGCCTCTCCTTTTTCTTTCCTTGTAAAGCCACCACTTTTCCTGTCCTGCCCTTGAACCTGCCCCTTGCCTTGCCTTACTCAGCTCATCCCTCTCCCACCTGGAGTCCAATACCCCTTTTCTTCTGGCATTTCCCACCCTTGCCCTGCCCTGTCTGCGCCCTCAAGGACTTCCAAGACTTTCACTTAACTCCAGTGTTTCAGGAGCATGTGAGAGGAAGCCCAGAGGAGGTCCCATGCAGCCAGACCCATCTTTCTGGGCAGTTTTTGTCTGAGAACAGTGCTTGCATGTGTTAAAATTTGGATAGGCAATCCATATTTTGCCCTTGGGCTCTGGGACCAGAATGACTTTTGCATATAAAGAAAAGCAAGGTAACCCAAATGTTTAAGGTATAGATCAGGGATGGCACATGCAAGATCAAGGCCAGACAGAGCAGTCTGTCCTGCCCGCTTTTGTGGTCCAGCAGTCCTTGCATGTACCTCTCATTTGCTTTCTGCCTGGCCTACCCATTACTGGACTTACCTTCCTATGCCCAGCCTTGCCTAGAACCTCTGGCCTTCTCTCACCTACCACCCCATTTGCTTTCCCCTCAAAGCTCCAGCCTTGCCAACTTCTCCCTTGACTTGCCTACAATTGCCTACACTTGGTTTGCATTTCCTTGCCTGCATGGAACCCAAGACAAAGAGTGGTAGACAAGGCAAAGAAAAGCAAGGACACTCTTGGTAGGGCCAGGCAAGGCAGACATAAGCAAGCAAGCAAAGCAAGAGTAGGATAGGAACACTAGGCATGGTACTCAAGGCAAGGCAAGGCACGGCCAAGTGACTCAGAGTGCCTTTCCTTGGCAAGTAAAAGATATAGAGACAATGTGGGAAGGTATAGTCCAGCAAGACATTTCTGTCCTGACCCCTTCTGTCTAGGAGGCATTGTTGGACATAGTACTGGAGGTGGTATGCAACTTTTGGTAAGCTCCTGAAGGAGAATGGCGATGCTTTCTCACAGGAAGGAAAGCACGTAGCCCCAGTGTTGCAGGTGCAGATAAGAAGATGTGTCATGCAGCTCAAGAATGGCAGAAACTTTCTGTCCTGGCATATTTGGTTTGGAAGCACTGCCTCAATTTGTACAATCATAGAGTGGGTATCCATCTTTGGAAGGTGGTCTCCCTCCTTTAAGATTCAATTTGGCATGTGTTTTCCACTTCTCAGAGGTAGCCTTCTTGACAGAAATTCTGGCAGCGCATGTCTTTTGGACAAGGTAAACAGCTATGCTGAGTCTTGGTGTGCAAATGATCTAGTGCTCCAGGCAGGTAATGCTCAGTACCAGTCTTCTGACACCACTGTATGGGATCAGTCCCTGGATGTTTTGGATTTTGGAAGAGGAGACACCATTTATTTTGAGACGAGCTTCTAGCTCTTCTCTTCGGTAAGGAAAGCAAGTTTGGATGGGCACTTTGGGTGATCTCAGTGAATTTAAAGGCTTTTCCCAATAGGCAATTCTCTGTGTTAGAGCTCTTGAACTGACAGTGGGAATGCAGATGCCAAGCTACATATACATACTTAAATATATACATATTTTTATATACATATTTTTATATACATATGCATATATATATAGACACACATATATATATACATATATACATACATACATATATATATATATATTCACAAAATTATTTTCATACATTTTCAGTGTCTCTGTGTCCAAGCAGCTAGAGATAACATAGATGGAAGTGTCAAGATAGAAGATGTTCTCCCTTCTTATAACAGCATTAAAATTGCACACAACGCCGTGTTG